ACAACAAAGGCGAACATCCAAAGAATAGATGATCCCATCACACTCGAACAAAGAATGGCAAAGCACAACTGACATGCCGTCCACAATCACAACTCAAAGGATTTAGAGTACGACTTGACTTCGCAGAAAAGGACTTCATTGAACTAGACCAATGACCACCTCGATGTTCACTATACGTACAGATCCGAGTTACAAGGCATCCCTTCCACACACGATCTTCACGCCATTCCCAGACGAGGTTGCACACAAAACAAGTTCTCTACATAATACAGAAAAACCCGTCATAGCAAACCATTTTGAAATCGGATTGATTTCATTGGGGATCACAGTCGTTGTCAAAAGACGACGTAATAATTTCCTGTCCATAATTCCAGCGTCCTGGAACTTCCTTATCCAAGAGGGACCGGACAAAAAAAATGATGTTCACCAAATACCAACGTTCATCATCCATCCTTCAAATTGCAGAAAGATAATTCTAAAAAACTCTGTAAAACCCGGATGGGTGCAACCTGATCTAAACTACATTTGATTATTGGATAAATTGGATAATTTACCAATGTAAAATATTTAATATTAACCAATCATAATCCATCTAACTAACAACCCACTTATTTGTAAGTGCTGAAATTACTTGTAATTTCAGCACCAGAGAGATTTGAATTTAACTTAGAAATTAGTTGCCTCTCCAAGAGAACTTCAGCAGTCGCAATAAACCAGTATACTCTAGATCTATTGAGCCTAGCAGAGACTAGTTAAACACCTTGAGACTAGTAGATATAAGAGTAAGATTAGGATCGGTATTAGACTAAGAAGTTGCACGAATCTATCCGGCCCAAAATAAGATAGCGTGACGAGCAGACGGTGTACCCTATCCGAAATTACTCTATGAGTTAAACCAAATAACATCTTAACTCACTCTGGCCGAATTGATCAGATTGAACAAAATTCTTAAGTTGGACTTTGCTGGAGTTTTTTGTTCAGATGAGAATATAAAAATTTTTAAAATGATCGTTCACTGTTCAAACCTGTTTTTAGCTTCATAACTAGAAACTCGGCAAGCAATAAAACATTCAAATTTTTTAAACAAAATATAGAATTTGGGAATGCAAAAGTGGCTAAATTTCGTAAATTAAGAGAGTAATTTTCAAAAAAATCTTTGGACATCATCTGGTCTGCTCTGACTTGAAAGATGTATTCAAACAAATGAGCGCAAATTGTTCACCGTGAGATTGCTTTTAATTTTCAACAATAACCAGTCAGCAGTTAAAACTATTCTTGAGGGTATTCGATGTTCCTTTGAAGCGACACGGAAGTCTTCAAAATTCTCCGTCCTAACATCATTATGCTTGTAAACATATTAATGAGACGTTTCTACTTAAAGATGAATTGATCACTCTGTCAACTCAGGCCGGGAAAAAATCGAAAGATCCATACTGAAACCAGAAAAAATGGGAGACACGTTTGAAGAAGTAGACTGACTCTTCCGAGAGTGTCCGATTTAGAAAACATGGCTAAGGCAGCAAAAATTGGAGACAGCATGAGGGGCACTTATCGGACGAGGAAAAATTTGAGGTTCTCAAAAACCTAACAGAAAGTAATCCGCTATTAGCAGCGAGTTCAAGGAGCGATCTGAATCGAGGTCAATTTCTTTTCAGAGTGGAACTGGACATATCAGTACAGAGGCGGAAAAAATCTGGGTTTAACTTTGTTGTATTATCCGGAAAACTTTGTCGTCTATCGAGAACTTTTAGATGGAAAATCTGGTCGTCCGTTATTCAGCGTTTGTAACGGGAATTGTTTTAACTTAATTAAATTATTTATTTTACTCACAAAAGGAATGTGATAAGGAGTATTCACATTCCACCAAAACCTTCTTAGAAGGCGCTCAAATGTTCAAATTGAGCTTCAATTACACCTTCAGTCAGCCCGCTTAAGAAGCTTCTACATCATTCTAGTTCAATCAATCCGAGCAAACCAATTCATTTATTACACTCCTCGAAAGTACTCCAGTTTCATCCTCAGCTGAACAGTCGGAGAAGAAAACAAGGCGAAGCGGTTCGCAGGACTAGATAAACTAGATGCGAAGACTGTGAGACTGTACGCTTCATTGGGGAAGATAGGAAAGAAGATGCCACTCTCACTGGGTACTAGGCGCACCAGTTTGCCAAATTTAATTGGCAATGGCCCAAGTGGTTGACATCACACTATTATTAAGCATCCTTCCGGAGCATGAGATTCAGGAGGTGCCTGACAGGGAGCCTTTATCGCAACTACAAGAGGCGTCTCAGTCTAAACTCCATAAAGCAAGAGACTGCATTTCAGAACAGGAGACAGCATAGGTGAATGTCTGGTCTTTACAGTTTCAGTTTCCATAGCCAATTTGCCTTCAGTTGCCTGAAAACTAGCAACTAAAGTTGGCACTCCGGGGATGGTTTTGAAGGAGGTTGACTCAAATTGGGAAATTGAGGCAGAGACTGGTGTGAGTGCCGGAGCCATCGCAAGTTCACAGAAAAGGAGAGCACCTGACAGTTGAGAGAAGAATGAACAGAGCGCAAAGAATCAAATTGACCCTAATGGGGCGAAGACGAGAGCTGAATTTCATCAACTAGATTGACAGGAAGGATATTAACAGACGGTTTCTGTTCTTAGGTAGTCCGCTAAAGCATTCAGAGAAGAACGTAGAAAAACGAGCCCCCATAAATACATCACCAATTTCGCCGAAGAAAAAGCTATTTTTTCCGAATCCACTCAATCACCACGCAGTAAGCCACTGTCGAAGATACCGAGATTTGTGCTGCGCAAGTCAGCTCAAGTTCTGAAAAAGAACTGATCAAACCGTTCAAAATCTTTCAAAACTTTTGTTCTTTAATAAACCAAAGTGAATGCTGCGTATGAAGTTTTCCTTGAAGAAAATAGAATAGAGGTCATTGTACAACCATACTTTAGGATTCATTTGTACTAAAGATCATTGCCTTGGTATTGGCTGACAGCTAAACAATTAATCATTATGTCAAACACCCTTCATTTCAGTTTAAATTGATGTTGACCAGATTATTGCTAACCCTCTATCACTCTCGTTAATTATTGAAAGATTATAGTTTTGCACATGAATTAAATTCATAAGTCTAAAGAATTTTATCTACATAACTATTATTAAAGTACATTTAATAAGATTTAGTTTTTGAGTTCTGGTTTTAAAAGACATACTTTTTTAATTACAGGAAGACTTTTTAAAGAATTTTACTTTATTAAAATAATTCTTTCTAATACCTATTTGAGTAACGCAATTATATTATATATTAAAAGTCAGAAAAGCAAAAAAAAATGTCAGCAACTGCCCATGAAATTTTCCTGTTTTTTATGTCATTGTTCTGGCCGTTTGAAAATTGGGAGAAACGTTGTATTTGGATGTGTTTTTTTTTGCTATTGTTTTCCAAACAAAATCAGCTACTACAAATAATCATTGGAATGGTTCGATTGATATTTTATATGAAATCCTATTCAGTTGAGCTTCAAACAACAATAAAAAGTTTTTGAAAATTTTTCTCAATGTTGAGAAAAACGGGCTTGAAATTTTTTATTCATGGTCGAATTTCGAGCAAATAAGGTCAGCGTGAAGGCTTAAAATAGATTATGTATGGTAAATTTAGGCAGTAGAAACTTAGTTTTACTCAATTAAAACTAGTTTTGGAAGTTTTTAATGCCATTTTGCGAATCAGAAACTTCAGAAAATCAAAATATTTTTCGGCAAAATATTTTTCGTCGGTTTTTTTCCTTTTTTTTCGTCGGTTTTTTTCCTTTTTTTTTTCGTTTTTCTAGTCAATTGATCTCTTCGAAAACGATTTTCCAATTGGTTTTTAATATGATTGTAGAATATGCCTATGTTTTAGTTTTTGTTTAGATTTTTCTATCACACCACTCAGAAAAACGGAAACCAATTTCAAAAAACAATTTTTTTGTGTTTCAGACTATGGTCGCAAGATTCTGTGCTACTTGCACAACAACCGGCTATCCTTGTTTTAATATACTTTCAAAATAAAAAAAAGGTTACAGAAATTGGCAAGATTGAATTGTTTTTCCATTTTGCCCATATCTTACAAGACACCAACAAAATTAAAAACACGACGAGTCAATTATTACGAAGCCGAACAGTCCACTGGATGGGCAAACAGTTTTGAGTCTGTTTGTTCGTGAGTTTCTGTGTCGGAACGATCAAATGAATGGAAGAACAAAAAAAAAATCAAAAGAAGGGTTCTTGTTGCAGACTCCGCTTTCAATTCATAAAATGCACATTTTGGCCTCGTAATGATGAATTTGATCAAATAAAAAACTGTTGAGATTTTGAAATTGAAAAACAAAAAAACTGATTTTTCCGATTTTCGGAAAAAAAGAAACGGATTGTTTGCGGTCATTTTTTTTCTCTAGACATATTTAAAGAAAAAATACATAATGAAAATAAGTTATTTTGTTTTAATTATCTTACATAACGCGGGCAAAAGGTGCATTTTGTGTATTGTATGCGGATTCCGCACCAAGGACTTTCCTTTTGTTCTTTCGTTTTCTTTAGTTGTTCCGGAAAACTTTTAACATGTTTAAAGACTTGTATCTGGAATCCAAGATCATACAGACAGAAAAATGTGCGCATATCCAGTGCACAGCTTGACCTCGTAAGATAATTTTTATGGATGTTTGAAAAATCAAAGTAGCATGGGATAAAGATTTGTGCCATATTCCCATCAATGCATATCGCAGAGATTCCCATCAATGCATAGCGCATAGCGCACAGGGAAACAATAATTTGACTCATGTCAAATTAGTGGGTCCAAAAAACTTCAAATGCTTAACCGGTAAGTCAAAACTTTTAGAGCTTTGCCCCTGTGCGAGCACTCTTGCTCTAATTTGTAGAAATCTGTAACAAAATTTACTGTCAGAAAACTGTCCAAAATTTTTCTTGAGGGCGTTCCAAAGATAAAATATTTCGTTTCATATGGCTACAAAATTTTCAAAAAAAAATTACATCAAGAATCCATTTCGCAAATCCATGAGTTTTCTATGCACATCAACTTGGTTTTGAAGAACTCGAACGTCAAAAGTTTCTCAACATCCTTGAACGGAAAATTGTAAGTATTGGGCACTTTATGCTTCACTCGAACAGCTGGTGTAACTCTTGTGATAATTGCATAGGGCATATCTGGTTTTGTAGATCCTTTCCGATGAAACTCACCCCATCCAAATCCAAGAGCCACAACAATATTAATTTCTCGAGTGCAGTCATATCTTGCCTCAAAACATTTAATTAGTAGATTTTAGTTACCATGCTCTTAGGTGATCATATGAGATCTTTTTCGTCTGTTTTTCCAAAAAAAAATTAATCCTCATTTAAATTTTTAAAACTATCCTAGCGGGTCTAGGTTGCTTTTTCGTACAATTTTTTTACTTCCAGTTTTAGCAAAAAAGCCTTTTAAAATAACCTGGTCGCTTACTAGGGGGCAACGCATATCTAAAAGGGCAGATTTATTAAATGATAAAAACATACTCAAAGAGCACTCAGAACGTCAAAAGTCACACCTTTTTAGTTTTATGGTTTTGAGTTTTTCAAAAAAAGGTAATCAGCTGAATGCATAGATTTTGGCATACCGTTATATGTGTCAATGTTTTCCCCAATGTAGAAAAATTTGTGACTTTGGCAAAATAATCTTCTGGAGACACCCCTACACTGCGTCCATGCTTTTCGTATTCTTCAACTTGCAGTCGGCAACATGCTCCTAAAACTAGTTTGCATATAAACTCAGGATTTTAATCTAAATTTCTGTAAGTTTTTTGTATTAAACTCATCAAAATTCCGAAGCCAATTATTTGTTACCCAAAACTATAAACTTATTAGCCATAGCTAAACAAAGTTTTCGTAAAAGAAAATTGCGTGAACCTACTGATCGGACCTTTTTTCCTAATAACGCTCGGAACACTTTTTTGAGAACATGACATGGGGTGAAATCATAAATACTTAGACTGCTCGTTAAACAGTCTAAAGTAATTTTTGCTTGAAAAACTCCTTTTTTAAACATGGTTCATTTTCAATTTTAATCTCATTCTTCTAAATGGAATCTACGAAAAAAATGCAAAGGATATTTTTAAGAAATTGCAACAATTATTTCGAAACAATTATTAAGCCTCAGTTTTGATGAAAGAGTCGCAATTAGTTTCTAGTGGTCTAGGTATGCCTCACTTTGCAATACTCTGCAAAAAAAATTTTAGGAGAAAATAAAGGTCAATTTTTTTCTCAAAAAGCAAGAATGAGTTATAATCAAAAATTTGCTTTTTTCTGGAAGCCGTTCTTCTAGCTTTGTAACTTTTCTCGGTATTTCACTGTTTTTATCGTTTGATTTTTTAGTCTCTAGCAGATAATTACCTCCAGCTAACAAACAAATGTATATATAAAATTAATCACAAGAAAACTATATAAAAGTAATCTCCTTAGTTTTGAGAAATAAACGTCGATGCTTTTCAATTGACATTTAAATATCAGCCAAATTTTAACACATTGGCCGGAAAATAATCTATCTCAGCTAATAATATCTTTCAAATTTTCCTCGAAAATCGGAATGTGCTGAATTTTCATTTCCCAGCTGAAACGTTTCAAAAAACAAAATTATCTTACCTCCTGGATGAAAAGAAAACCAATTAATTTTTTCCCATGTTTTGTTATGTTGGATGAGGGCAGCAAACTTTGGCAAGTCAGTCCAATGAGGCTGTCGATTTGGCCTTTTGAAGAAAAACCAATAGCCATGGATGCAGTACACGTGGCTGAAAAACATCAGAATAAAGCTGAAAAAAGTGAAAAAAGTCTTTCAATCTCCATTTTGCTGCCTTTTATTTTTAAATTTAATTAATAAAAATATTTTTGAAATGAAATTTCGCACTTTTCTATACGAAAAAAACAAATTTTTTGACTACCATTATAAAAACTTATCATACCTCAAACTTCTAAACGACACTATAGACTCTTAAAGTATATTGGTAGCGGAATTTTAAAGTTTTCACCTAAACTTTCCGCACTCTATTCCAGGAAGGTACTCATCATCACGCAGCCAAATTTGGATGGACTCACTGGGAATGGCATTTTTCTTTTTCATCGCACATATGGCTAAAATATTGCAAGTGTTTTTTTTTGGAAATGGCAAAACGTACGGGTTTAAAAAGTTTGCGTTGAAGTGTGAATGAATTCATAATACAGTTGAAATATGTGTGTTTCGTCCTCACATGCTGCCAGATTAATCTGATTTTTTTCTTTCAATAGGTTGAATATTTTTTGCTAAATGATACCTACTGAAGACTAAAAAGTTTGAAGATTCGCTTAAAAAATTATCTCTTTGGAGACTGTTTATGACTCTCAATCATAAGGTCGGATATTCGAGGCCCCACATGATCCGTGCTTGTTGCTTGAGGGTGAGGCAACATTACAAAAAAACATTTGCATGCAGTGGTTAAGCAGAGGCACACCAGCGGTTCTCCGTGATGAACGAAACAGCTCGTATGTCGATCCTTTTACTTGGGAACAAACCGTCTTAATCATATATTTATCAACTTTGCCCATTGAAGCTTTTCTTATACCTTTGAATTTTTTCCTATGCCACATTTATCCACAGTTTTTTTTATTTTACATGGAAAACATTCGAAATAAACCGGAAAATAGTTTTCTGTTTGGAACCGTGGTTTTATTTTAATGAGCAGAGCTCATCAATCAATTCACTTTTTGGGTAACAATCTGCGTTATCAAAGGTACTTCAAAGATGTCGACAAAATGTTCATTTTTGCATAAAAATTTCAAGTGCGGCAATCATTCAGTGTGGAACTGTAGACCAAATTCTGACATTATTCTCATTAAGCGAGGGTATGTTTAAAGTACAGAAAGGCAGTGAAAACTCTCGATGTCATGTTATCGCTTCACTTTTGTCATTTAAACGTTTCAGTATCGTAAATTGGTTGATTCTGACTTGGCTGTAGACATTTTTTGATTAAACTCAATCCGCATTTCGACGGGTTCTCTAAGATCTTGTTTCATCAAAATAAGCGAGATAAAATATATAATTAAGATCAATGCATACTGAATTTCAAATGATATAGAAATATATTTTATCATATCGATTACATTCTCGCGTGCAAATGTCAAACTGAAATAAAAAATATGTGCAAGTAGCACATAATGTTCCGTCCATATTCATTATAAACATATTCAAAAACAGCTACAAAGAAAAAAAAATTTTATTTATTTTTGGAACTGGAGTCGTTGTTTGAACGTGGTTTGATGAGAAAACTAAGCAAAGTGTAGAAAATTAATGAGAGGATTTTAAGCATAATCCTCGGCATAGACGAGATCAATTTGAAATTTGAAATTTGAATTACTTTACCAGCTACATATACAACGCCAAAAGCAATATATTATGCCTGGAGGGAGATCCTAAAGAGCAGTACTGCTCATCGAGTAGGATATCTTGGAGAGTAAAGAGAAGACAGCCAGCATCAACTCAGCAACCAAAATAAAACAATTGTCCAAATTAAAAATGGTATCAATTATTTTTTCTAAATTTTTTTGCAGAAAAATTTCCAAGGTACCGCTAAATGATGCTTCAAAAACTAGTTTTCTTTTAGTAAAACCAAGTTTTTTTACTTTTAGAGGAAAAGTTTTTCTTCCTTAGATTGATTCGCTGACCTAACATGCTCGAAATTAAACTGCAACTCAAAAATTTCAAACCGGTTTTTCTCAACTTTTTTGAAATTTCTTTAGCGTCGTTCGAATCATGGCTTTAACTTTATATATGACTCAATCCATTCTGATGATTATTTGTGGTTTCTGGTTTTGCGTGGAAAGCAAAAATAGAAAAGAAAATAATGAAAACAATCAAATCCAAAGTTTCTCCCCATTTTCAATGGTCGGAACAGCAAAACTGCACGTCTATCAGAACGAAGTACTGAATGTTTGAACTGCCCCCTAATCGGCATTGAGAAGTTGTTGGGCGCGCATAATTTAGTCCAGAGCATGGCCAAATTGGCTATTTTCAATTACCTACAACTTTACAAAAAATTTTAAATTTGGAGCTCAGGTAGTCAATATTTTTGATGGAATAAAAATATTTCTTAATCGCCGAAGTTTTACTGAGAAAAAACCACTTTATAAAAAAATACGTATTTCAATCCATGTATTTTATAAATGAACTGCAACAAAGTTTCTTTAAAATATAATATATTTTTTTGATGAAGATGTGGAATTGAAAACTGAAGAAACAATACTTGCCATGGAAGCATTTCAAGAAGATCTGGAGCATTAATAGCAATTCAAATAACTTGCAATTATTCATTTGCGTTTCAACGTAATTGAAAGAAGCTCAACGTTTGATTACGAAAGAAACAAAAAATTTTCAGAACTTATTTCGATAACTTTTGATTGTTGTTCAATAATTTCAGAAGAGACAACAAAAAGAGACTATTATTGAACCTGAGCAATGTGTCACATCCAAAGTTCATAAAGTTCATTACACGCTGACTACTTTTGAGTCAATGATATCTTAATTTGTTATTTCGGGTACCTTGATTCGAAAGATCAAGGCTGAAAGTTGTTCAAAATAACAAAACTGATGGTGTTATACAGTGCTCATTTAAATTATCACGACAAATTGATTAAAGCTTGAAAACGAAATTGGATTTTTTCGAAATGGGTTGATTTTAGACAAAAGATGTTGAGGACAAAACTTACTTATAATTCTAACACAATTATTATCATAATTATTTTTGCAAGTTTGTGACCTAAACTTTTTGAAAATCAGTTTTGGCTCTTTTTGTCAAATTTTGTAAACTTACGCCAAACTACCGCTTCAATAGCTATGAAAATTATATCAAATTAAGCCCTTATTGTAGCCTAACAAAGTTGAAAAAGAGCATTCTAAGCAAATATTTTATTCATCAATTTTTGTGTGAAATCAAAACAACTTGAGAAAAATGCATTTGAATTTTCAAGTTTTATTTGTTTTGTCCAGATAAGTAACTCAGCAGTGTAGCTTTCAACGAATTTTATGCACAGAGTTTTAATGAAATGATTCTGAAATTGAAAATGTGAAATGGGGTTGAAATTGCAACCGAGTCTTCAAAATTAAGTGATTGCATTTTTTTTCAAAGATGTCCTTTTTGAGAACTATTTCAAGACCCGGGCCAAGTAAACAAGTTCTTACCTAAATCAAAATAGGGTAGAAAGTTCACTTTATTAAAGTAATTTTTTTTTCAGCCAATCAGGTTTGAGATACTGCTTAATTTGGTCATTTATTTTTAGAGGTTAGATTGTTCACTTGGTCTAATTAGGTAGGAGATGGTTCTCATGGGCTACTTTTTTGGCGAAAGATGGATGCCCCCACCCAATTAAACCCCTCCTAAAATTTTGTTTTTCTACGAAAAGTATATGTAAAAGTATATGAAAAAAAATATTATTTTTTTTTCACACCAATCCTTTTAACCATTAAAATTATTATAGCAATATTTTGTTAGCATTTGGAAAAAAAATTGTTCCGAAAACCCGCATTGAACTAAAAATTGATTTTTCTGAAAATTCTACGAGAAACATAAATTACACAGACCAGTCATTCCGGACATAGATACATTTTTCTTACTTTTTTAGGGCGGCAAGGATAACAGTTAAAGATTTCAAAAAGTCAAGCGTCAGATCTTCGCAGAGGAACAAGACCCACTTGAAATTTTTCGACATAAGCTAAAATTTTGTAAAATTTTGTAAAAAACTTAAGTGAAATTTTTCGGCAGCCCATTTCGACATAAGCTAAAACTAACTTCAAAACGCATTTCAAGCCAATAAAATTCAGCAAGTTTTCCTTCCAGCTTAAATTTTTAGGCAATCATATTAAACCATTTGATGTTCCGAATTTTGAAAATAGTGATGAAATATTTGTGTGCTTTTGAACATTTAACAACAAGCCCTAAATCTTACGACCACCTTTTAAGGTCTATTGAAGTGTCTATTTACAAGAACTGTTTATTCTTCGCTTTCTTGTTATTATCATGAAAAATATCGCGCTTAATGTATCTGAAGTTTGGAGATCGTTAAACTCCCATTACTTTACGAGAGTTGATCATAGAGAATTTTTTTTTCAAAATTGAGCTCAAGACAACAACACTCTTCAGATGAGGTAGATAACTCCGCCAAAAATGGCTAGTTAAAAAAATCAAAACTATGGCGGTAAAAAAAAAACAACCAACTCGAGAACAAATATTCTCTCACTTTCTTCAAAAGTCGGAACGATAAGCGATATTTGGACAAATAACAAAAACTGGCAAAAACTGGCAAAAACTGGGACAATCAACAAGCGATATATTTTGAGCAATTTACGCTTGAGCGGTGATAAAATTTTGCTCAAGAGTTGTTTCAAATTGAACTGAGTTAAGATGCTGCTTAGTCTTGATATTACGTTACTAGATGCTAACTACATCTGTTAGTTTTTTACAAAGCGTGTGAGAAAGGTTTTGAAAAAAGTCAAATATTTTTCTCTTCTTTTTTTGAAACCATTGTAAGTTGTTAAAAACACAAAAAATGCTCTAAGGATTTTAAAGGGCAGTCGAGTCATTCGAGGATTGGCGCTGATATAAGAAGTTTTTTAAACTAGAATTAAACAAAAATTGAAAAGTTAGAGCAGAAAAACTGAAAGTTGTCTGAAAAATGAAAAAGTTGTCAAATTTCTCTCTAGTTTTCGAAACTGAACGTTGTCTGAAAAATGAAAAAGTTGTCAAATTTCTCTCTGCAGATTTCGATTTCGTTTCTTGTTTTAAATGGATTTTTGAGACCTCATAATAAAAGTTAGTCTATTGAATCGTTTGATCGTCAGATAACTTTAGGCATTATCAATTTATGAAATTAATGTGTCGAACGAAAAACTATCAGTTGTTTGAGTGTAAGAAAGATTTTGGCGACTCCCCTCCCAATCAGTTCTGAAGGTCAAATTATTCCAAAGTGTCTGTTTTTGGTAGATTTTAACGACATTCAATTTTGTTTGACTAACCCTAAAATTTTTTCAAGCGTTTTAAGCGCCAAATTACCAGCATCAAACTATAATGAAAAAATTGAATATAAGAAATTTTGTTGAAT